TGTGATTCACTCAGGTTTCGATGAAACCATGGGAGAAAGTACATATTTAATTTGACTTTCTTCTGGTTCCATGTGTACACTGCTCCCCAAAGGCTGTGCAGAGAGGTTTTCAAGAACAAGCTCTAATCCAATCTTCTCCAAGCAAACTCCCATGAGCAGCCTGCAGAAATGCCTGTTTTGTTTTCACGAGCCCTTTCAGCAGTATCACACGACTGTTTGCAGAATCTCAAAACTCTCATTGAAATAGCTGAGACAATCAAGGCAATTATGCTCCCATGGACCAAGTTTTAGTTATCTTTGGTCAGCTTCCACTAAAAACAGTTGTGTCCCTTTGCTGGCAGCCAAAGTATTTAGTTGAAAATCAGCATTATTTATCTCACTAATTATCCTTTCACTTGCTTTGGCTTATTTTTACAAATTCCCCTTTTTTTCCTCTTCCTAGATTATTTATTTTTTTAAGGCTTACTACTTATTGTTTCTCCTGACCTTTGGCTCCCTGAGCCTGTGAGGCTCTGGGATACTTTTCCTATTTAAAATCCAAAAGCAGACATTTCAGTTTCCTTTTTTACTTTTCCCCCTAAATAGTTCATGCCAGCAACTCCCTTTTATATGGCTGCTTCATTTGGTTTCCCCAGCTCAAGAAATTCATGTTAAAATAGGAGCTGAGGAGATTCTTTTGGCAGCCTGCCTGCTGAACTCTAGAAATGCCACTTCACATAGGCCATGCTTTGGATGCTTGAGTAAATTCCAAAGGATATAGCGGGGAAGACAAAGCTGTGGACTGAAGCCTGCTCGTGTGAGGAGAGGGGAAGCCATCCTCTAAACTGCTTTATCCTCATCATCACATGCCTGTTTCGTTCTGACTGCCTCATCCTGGCAAAGTAATTCACTCTCTTTGACACTTCGTCTGTCAATTGCTGTCCGTCACTCAGTGATGGTGCGAGTGAATTTGGTACCACTGAAACCCATTTATTAGTAAGCATATTCAGATATGGCATACAGACATCTACATGGTTACTAGAAAGCAATGACTTTAGACCCGTGCTTACCTGAGTGTCCTTCAAGATAAGAATCTTGCTGGGAAAGGCTGGCTCTGCTGTCACTTCTCAAAGGCATCTCCAAACAAGAGGATCCTAATTATATCATTGGGAAGTCCTAAAAGTGATTTTAGGCTTCCCGAAGTGAAATTAATCTGCAAGTTTGCACTGTTCTGTGTATGGAAAATGTTAACATTCACAGCAGGATTCCAGACATCTGCTTCACAACTGGTTTTAAAATCTAGGTCATTATATACAGGTGGCATCAGGTAGGTCTCCATGGAAGTCTCAGAATATTTTAAACAGCAAAACGGGTTTCTTTACAGCTTGTAACCAGCTAACACAAGTTTTTCATATGTGTACAGTACAAGAAAGGTTAAATATCTCTCTTGACCCTTCCTTGAGTGTGAATTTTTAACATTCCATGTTCTCATAGCTCTGGAAGGCAGCATTTCCTAGGTAAATTCCCCCGCTCTTCCAATCTGTTTGCTGATTTTTGCCATCCAGTATGAAACCTACAGTGATATAAATCCATTCTTGTTCTGGACCTTGGTCATTCATTTTCATATGCTGTGCAGTCATTCCTTGACTGTAGGCATTTTCCATTAATTGAAACATTTTACAGAATCCTAGAATCCCAGACTGGTTTGGGCTAGAAGGGACCTAAAACCTCATCCAGTTCCAACCCCTGCCATGGGCAGGAACACCTTCCACTAGAGCAGCTTGCTCCAAGCCCCGTTCAGCCTGCCTTGAGCACTGCTAGCGATGGGGCAGCCACAGCTTCTCTGGGCACCCTGTGCCAGTGCCTCAGCACCCTCACAGGGAAGAACTTCTGCCTAACATCTAATCTCAATCTCCCCTCTGTCATTTTAAAGCCATTAAGCACATTTGATGTGCCTCAGCTACTACTGGATGGGTGCTGCTGCCAAGTAGCAAGGGGATTGACAAGGACAGATGGTCACCAAGTCTGACAGTACCATTGGTAGGGAAGCAGAGATATGATTGCAGTGGCAGATGGATGCTGGTTGCTGGGTATGGAAAGCAGTGGATGCTCTGACTCTTGGACTTTCTACAGGTAGAAGCTACCTTACCTGTGGAGCAAAATGTTGGCAGGGATCCTGCTGTAACTGCCCACAGACTAGCCAGTGTCAGCCTGGGAAGCTTTATCCTGGTTCCCTTGGCCTGGATCAGGAGATGTAGGGGCATAATCCAGTTACAGACAGGTCAGGATTACGTGCCTCAGGAACAGAACTGCAGGGGCCCCTAACAGCCCCAAGACTGAGCTGCAAGCCAAAAACCTGCCCCATTTTCCCACCGCCAGCCCGAGTGCTTGAGAACCCAGCTGAGAGCCAAGCCAGCATGAGAAGGTCCCTGATAGCCTGAGTGAAATGCATGACATTTGGCAGCTCCACTGCTCTATGGGCTATTGAAATGCATAAAAACATTCCCAGTGTGTTCAGAGGGCTGTGGATCCTGCCTGCAGGCTCCTTTCCTTCTGCTGTGACAGCACTCCAAGAACTCAGATAACATCAGCACCTTCTAAACATAAATCCACCTATGTCTGAAAATGTTTAATATCTTTTTTTCCCTGAGCTTTTTACATCTGCTGCTTATTTTCATGTACTTTCCCACAAGTGCCAAAGTCTAAACTTGCCTCTCTTTTTCATTTCTTTCCACTGCAGCCAACACAATTTCCTTGTGCCCACTGCAAATTCCTCCACCACTGAGCTCTTCTGGCATCATGCTGCCTTGTGTTTTTAGGGCAGAGGGGAAGAGGGTTTTGTGTGGTCATTTAATGCATGAGAAAACTCATTAATAGATTTTCTGGGTAATGTTGTTTTTAACTGCAGAATAGAGAGAGCCTAACACTGCAAGCTTCCTCCTGATGCCCTGGCAGTCTCCTGCAATTCCAATTTAGTGTGACTGCGTTTTCTGGAAGGAAAGAATAACTTGAACTCTGTGCTTATTCATTCTCATTGCTGGGGCTAATCAATGAAGCAATTGTATTTGGTAGTAATGTGAGGGTTGTCATGTTTTAAACTGACAGGAACCCTCACATACAGTTGCCAGGTCACCAGGTGAGAATGAGAAGGAACCAGGTCAGTGACTATGAATATGGACCAGACCTGAGCCCACAACGCAGCTGACAGAATCACAGCCTGCTTCTGTTGAAATACCCACTTCCTACTATGGAGGCTTATTTGTGATTTCACAGCCTGTTGTGGTGAAATCAAGGTGATGTTGAGAGCAGACACTAAGCTGTATAAAACAGCAACAGAACGACTGCTCAACCAGAGTGTTAAACAGATTTTGTGCAATTAACAAATAATTACTTAAAAAAAAAAGAAAGGCACAATATTGTGTGCACATTGAACCATTTAAAAACAACACTGTGAGAAAGTCTACAAGCACTATCAGAGGCTCCTCACATCCTGGGGAAGGACGCTCTCTTTCCTGGCCATGAAAATGCAGTTTTGTTCCCTGAAGATGGCTAAAAACAATACAGCCACCTACTGACTGACAAGGTTAACCACAGCATGTTTATGTGCTTGTCACTTAACTGGCCATTTCCATCCTAAAATTGTGGCCCGTGGAAAACCGGTTTTCAGCAGCTGCTAATTACTGAAGCACACAATTAATAGCTGATTAGTAACTTGCTGACTCTCCGTATTACTCATCGCTTTGACATGTGGTTAGGTAGCTGGTGTATAAGCACTGCTAAGCATGTGCCATATATTTTCCCCAAGCATGAGATGGCATCACATCTTGCAGTTGTCAGACAAGGGCTCTATTTCCACATCTCCACTGGCGGGTAGGGATAAGAAAAAACCATAATCACAAGACATTTCCACTGAAGAATGAGACAGGACTCCCTGATGTCTGTGGCTGTCCTGTTCCCCTTTTGAGACCTCAGGTTGGTGTTTGCTGAATATTCATCACTTAGTGGGAGTCAGAGAAACACTCTGGGCACCAGCACAATGTTGATGGAACAAAATAAGGGAATGGGAGTCTTTGATTCAGGAATTACAGTTAACTGTGTTTAAGAGCTTCTTGTAGGTTGTGCGATGATGCAGGTGTTTGAACATGGAGCCTGACGTGCAATACCCTGTGTGTTACGTGACTTGAGGGCTTGCATCTCCTGAGACCATGGAATCTTGCAGGAGGTCCATGTTTTCCCACAGACTCTCATTAAAACAAGGTAATAAAGAACATCTCAAGATCATACAACTATAATGAACGATGCAAACATGGAATACAAGTGGATGAAATACTGCTTTTAAAGACAGTTTGTTTTACAGTACACCTACATCCTGCATGGATGTCAAGAAGCTCAAGAAGCCCCCTTTTACCAAAAGGCTTTTGTAATCCTTAAGGGAAAATGAAGTGTTGGTTAATAATCATACAAGGCTCAGCAGGAACAGTGTCTGTGTTGGCACACTGAAAAAAATACCTGGCATACTCAGTGCATAAGTAGCTGGCTGAGCAGTCCAAAAGGCACTCACAAAAACATGGTGAGACAACAGACTATGTGTAAATATAAAAGCAGTCTTACGTTGCTAGGAAATGGCTGCAGGGATTAAGACTGACCAGAGCACAGTAAGCCTCATGACAGTTTATAGAACATGGTTTTCACAACTGGTGAATGAAGTCCCACAATCCTCCTGAGGTTCAGGAGGAGCCACATAATCTGCAGTACTGCTGTGAAACCCTCTGCAGGCAGAAGGCTGATTATAGACACACAGAGATGCCTACCCTTGCCGGAACTGGAGCATCCAGACTGACATGACTAAGACTTCTCTTTGAAGCATCACTATGAGGAAACGAGACCTTTCTTCCTCCTGCCACCACTTCAGCATGGCTTGAATTAAATTTTAACTATGTTTAATCCCTATTGCTTGCATAACCCATCAGCTGAAATCACCCTTTGCACAATCAAAAGACAAGGCATCAAGAACCACATGCAAAATACTCCTCCTGGGTTAGTTTATTGTATCTTGCTATTGTAACTTAGCTGTTACTATAGATTCTCAGAACACAGTGCAAAGCTCTATGCATATGAGAAACAAACATTTGAGACTTTAAGCTGAGACTCAACGTCCTCCTTAGGATATTCAAGAACTTGTAAAAAACTTTCTTTGAATAAAAATGTGATATGTAATGGACAGAGATAAATATGGTACTATAAAATCTTAAAGCTAAAAGAATAGCATTTCAGGCTGAGAAGCTTGTATTTTCCAGAGTACAGATGTCAGGATGACACCTAAGGAGACAAACAAGCAGAAAGAAGCATCTGGAAACAAAATATTTGAAAGCAAAACTTGAACCAGCTTGTTTGCACTGAAAAATAAACGAGTGGCATCACAATGGACATGAGACTATGGCTCAGACAGAGCAAATTATAAACATACAAGATATATGGATTTCCAGAACAACTGGATCCTGTTTCTGTAAATACTTACGCACATGAGTGGACACATGAGTTTCCTGGAATTGCTCATGTGTAATGTTGTTAGTTAGAATCTGTCAGTCTCTAGTCACGTGCAGTGATGTTTGCAAACCTGTAGGACTGGAACCTCAAAAATCATAAATTCTTCTGAAGAGTGATGCTTTTTTCTCCTATGGACTGGCTAATAGTTAGCAAGCATTTGGTCATTTCTGTTATAAGTAGTAATAACCCATTTCCTCACACCAAGTCCCAGGAGCTGGCAAGGCACCCAGAGACAAACAGCACTGTAGTGGTTAGTGGAAGAGCAATCCTTTCTGTAATAAAAAGCTGGGTATTCACTTACGTATCTTAATTCTTTCCATGCGTGCCCTTTCTTGCCCTCGCCCCCTAAATTTTATTCAAACAGAAACCCAGGAATTTGGCCTCACGGCTGGGACTTCTGGACAGCTAGCAACCTGACTGGATGGGCAAGAGTGCAGCTCAAATTATAGCTGTCCTGACAGCTGGCCAGCGTCCACACAGCTCGACTGCACTTCAAGTGACTATAAATCTGAGGTATCTGGACCATGTCACGCTTACTGCACCGGTGCTAGTTATCTGAGTATATGCAGGAGGTGCCTGTATTCCAGTTTCTGCCTGTGTTGTTGTCCTGGGTTCAGCAGTAGCAGTCATGTTTCTCCTCCTTGGTAGCTGGTGCAGTGCAGTGTTTTGACTTTCAGCTCAGGAACAGAGCTGATAGAGATGTTTTGGTTTGGCCAAGGACTTTGTGAGCCTCATGCTCTGCCAGGGAGGAGGGGAAGCTGGGAGGAAGCAGAGACAGGACACCTGACCCAAACTGACCAAAGAGGTATTCCATACCACAGCACGTCATGCCCAGGATGTAACTGGGAGTTAGCCGGAAGGGCTGGGAGACGGCAGGGTTGGAGGAGGTATGGGTCGGTGCTTGGTCGGGGACTGGGGGGCCGAGTTATCAGTTGGTTGGTGGTGAGGTGTTGTATTCTCTTCCCTTGTTATTTCTATTATCATTGTTATTATTGGTAGTAGCAGTAGTGATTTGTGTTATACCTTAGTTACTAAACTGTTCTTATCTCAACCCGTGGGAGTTGCATTCTTTTGATTCTCCTCTCCGTCCCTCCGAGAGCAGGGGGAGGGCAAGAAAGGGGGGGAAGTGAGCGAACGAATTACCTGACTGGGTTTAAACCACGACAGTTGTCTTGAGCTGACATGAGAGATGCTGGCACAGACTTTACACACTTTGTCATTTTAAAATACCTGACAGAGCCCTTGTAATGGAAATCAGCCACCTCTCAGGTTTCAGAAGAACTCTTCCTTTGAGCATAAAAATCTCTGGCTACCATCAAGTTGCTTGTTTTCTTTCCTAAATTTTTAATCCTGAACACAGTCAGAGACAAAAAATGGACCATAGGAAGGAGTGATATTCCAATGACAGTGGATTTTACATTGCCATTGATCCAGATGAGTCCATCGGGCAATGCCATAACATATTCTAGAGACGGAAACAGGCACCTTTTCAGTCTGCATTTGGGCAGTTCTTAGATGGGGGAGAAATTACTCCGTTCACCCTGTGAGCTGTGCCCTTCTGTAACCAGATCCTTCCTGACACCGACCCCAGCACTCTGGCTTGGCAGTAGCAAGTTCCGTGGACTAATTATATGCTATTGCAAAAAGAGCACTGGTTTTGACTTTTTCCTCCTCATTTAATTAATTCTTGCTTTATTCTCAAGTTATGAGGGAACCTTTAGGACTTATTTATATGGCTACAGGGCCCAGAACTGTGGAACAGTGCTGTCTGTCCCAGGCTGTAATGCACAAATAAGCCCTGATTGTGCATCAGTTAAGCACCTACCTCCTGTCATGCATGTCTGTAAAGCACAAGGGGCTAATTTCTCAGTCTCCAGCTAGGCACTGTGGAGAATCGTCTGTACTCCAAAGATCTTATAATCTCAAAAGGAAGTCAAGCAAGAAAACAAGGAAACATTTACTGTGAGGAATACTATTTGAGGTCTCAGTATCACTTTATCATATAATATCCTATCAGTGTCGGAACTGTGACTTTTTCCCTGTGGACTTTTCCGTTAAGGTCCCTTAAAGTCAATGGGACATCACATGAATAAAGAATGCTACAGATGAAAGCAGAAGCTGGATCAAGGCATAGACCTCCTCAGTAGTCACTTGTGGGCAGTAAGGTCAAAGGCTTTTTGAAACTTAAAAGTCAACTATATTAGTAGATTTTCTTTAATTCACTGCCCTGGAAATGAGATCTTCCTTTGTAACAATGCTGATTTCTCTCCAATTTTTCATGAAAGTGTCTTTGAATGACAATTAAAAAGACAGAGACTTTGCTAAATGGAAATAGTTCCACTTGCTAAATGGAAATAAAGACAGGTGCTCTTATAAAAAAAATAATAATGATGGTAAATGCTCCATCCTTGGCAGTGTTCAAGGCCAGGTTGGACTGAGCTCTAGTGTGAGGCGTCCCTGCCCATGGCAGGGGGTTGGAACTAGATGAGCTTAAGGTCCTTTCCAACCGTATCCATTCTATGATTCTGTGGTACCTGATTTTGCTAGATTTCCCATGGCCATTTTAGCAATTTGTTTTAAATTCAGTATTTGAAATTATGCTTCTTTAGCACTCCACAACAAAACCATTTATAGACATTTTAACGTTTTGGATAATTCTAGTTATGTTTAAAATGGATGAGAAAATATTGAAAAAATAGGTCTGATTTGAACCTGTGCTTAGGGAGAATTCAGAGCAAACACACAAAAAAGAATTCCAAATAAAACTCTGTGCTGAATCTGTAAGCAAAAAGCCATTCTATGCAACCAGAGTCCATGTTCGAGATCAGATCAGAGGTCTGACCTGAGACTGTGTAACATTGCAGTCTAGCTCCTTCAGGCTGCAGTTTTACAGGATAAAGAAGGGTCCATTCAAGTCCTATCTCAGAAAGCCACTGCTCATCTCAAAGTTTTCTATCCCTCCAGCTCTTTAACCAGCATATTCACTGATTGATTTTCCTTGAAACAGTAAGATACCAAGACATTCTCTCACCTGTTATGTCTCTTTTGAAGCACCTCACATAGAAGAGAGAAAATATGTAGGTAGCTGCTACTCCTCTTCAGTCTTGAAGCTATCATCAGGGCAAAAATAGCTGCAGATGAATCACATTTTCATTTACCCATTTCAAGAAGTTGTTCCTTAGACAAGTGTCACACCTCGATGACCACTGCTAGTAACATTGCAGTTATAAGTGCTAATATGCATAAGAAAACACTTATAACATCCAGTTATAAGTGTTTTCAGCATTTGTCCGTAAAACCATCTTCACGCCCCTGTTGGAAACAAAATATTAGTCTTGCAAGACTTTATTCCAGAAGTCAACAGCTGAAACTGCAGAGCCTGCCTGAATTCATAAGAAAACCACATCCCTGTTGCACTTCATCCACCAGCCACCCACTGCAGACTAGTGGGTCCTTCAACTGTCACTACAGGCAATTTGCAAGTGAAACTGGGTGTTCTGTATTTCCCTCTCAGCCTGCTCCATTTGAATTCCCTTATGGCTACAAAGGAGAAAGCTTATTAGCTTTCTTGTCAGCAGATACGCTTGTAAGGTCTCTCTCGATAGCCCCTTAGATCTTGAAACCTTCAGTGTTGTAATAGCTGAGATTGCTGTCTCTTGTCAAGTTTGATGGAAGTTGGTCACTGGGCTCAAAGGTTACAGGGAGGATCAACTGGTACCTATAGAAAACATCAGCAACAAAACAACAGTTAGTCCTGACAAACAACTGAGATGTCCATTATGACATTTAAATATATACACATTTCTGCTTGTTTGCTTACACAAATATCATGACTGACAAATAGTCTACCTCTTGTTGAAAGACCTGAAGCCAAACCCATTCATCAGTGTTGCTTATATGGCAACAAGAAGACTTCCAGAGTTTTTTCCTCATGGAAATCAATTATGAATTGTTGAGAATCAGCAGTATTTCTAGTGCTGAAGAGATGATATACACTTCCAGAGCGAGAAAACCCATGTGAACATGACCTTTCCCTTAGTTTCCTTAAGAAATAAACCTCTCTGGCTTCATGTATACAACCGAAGGGAGCACAAACCCACTCCTTCCTCCTTGTACAACAAGTTTTCCAGATCATTAAATGAAATGTAAATTCTGTGATTTAGAAGAGAAAATCCTGGCAGTGGCTGCAATGAGGATTTTCTCAAAGCTGTTTGTTCTGAAGAAGGAATATGGGAATCCTTGTCATCATTTCATAGTAAGGCAGAGTTTGTTAAAGTCTTGGAGAAAACTGATGTGTCTGAGCATATAGATTCTCAAGTTCTTTATGGTTGTCATCCCACATACAGGTCAGTAATTTCACATGACCTCAACTCTTAGAATAAATAGCAAAAGAGCCTGGATGCATTAGTTGCAACCCAGCTTTGTAACTGCTATGATTCCACTTGAAAATATTTTACTGGCAATAAATGGAGATTTTGCTCTATTCCAACTTGATAAATGGGTATCAGGGTAGATTAATAATACAACCTATCTTCTGTGCCAAGCTCAGTTAAGAACCTAGAGTTGTAGGATCTTATATGCTCTCTATTTTCCGTTGGATAGTCTAATGGCTGAATAAGAAGCCTCAATTCTCAAATCATGTGCCTATTTTAGACACTTCAAGAGTCAGAAGATCTTTCATAGCATTTTAATGAATTCCTTTATTTGTAAAAAATTAATATGGTTTTGGCATTCTTAAAAGTGATTTGCCATAATTTTTCGTCTGCACTAAAGGGGTGTCACACACAATACAAGCATGCAAAAAGATTCCTGTGGATTTGTGAAGGTATGTCAAGCTGGATAAGTATTAAGAATAATGACATAATTTCTTGCATGTTAAAATACCAAATGGCCTGTTGGTGCAATACATTGTGATACTTCAAAATGGATATTCATAAAATGTTTCCTGGAACCTAAATTCATGTCAAACTGCTTTTACCAGGTTTTTAGTCCTAAAATGCAATTACTGACGGTGTGATTCTGACCCCCAGGGGATTGTGCATGGTCCAGGGATGTGCTCACAGAGGTGGCACAACATGCAGCTTCAAAAATGACACCACATGAGACATCTTCCTGTTCCCAGGTACGACTTGGGAAATTTCTTGGTCATCCCAAGTCTGGAGTCCGGCTTAGTAGCTAATGGGCATGTTATAGAAATACTGCATGTATGTGGACCACCAAGACTGTCAAACACCACCACTGCAACCACCCTAAAGAAAAGTTAAAAACTTCTGCATTAATCCTTGACAAGTGCTCATCTAACTGACCCCTTTTGTTGCACTACCCTGGGCACAAGTATTCACCTAGTGCTTGGAAATTGTATTCCACTCTTGGAAACCCCTGGTAGCGACAGCATGGACAGAATTTCAAGTGCAAATAAGCATTCTTGTATAACCAGGGAGGGCACCGGGAAACCGGTAGGAGTATGTCAAATATTACATTTGAAGGTGTTGTCAAGTGCCAATTTTCCGTATTTACTATTTGATAAGCCTCCTCAAGGACAATGGGCACTGTAGCAGCAGAGAGCTCGCATGCTCCACCTCAAGCATGAGGTTTGTGAATGAGTGGTTATGGGCAAAAATGAGCATAAGTCGATGAACACAAAAATTAAGACTATTTTCTCTGTGAATTCTCACGTTAGCTGTTGTCTGCATCCAGGTTTTATTTGAGAGGAAGAATTAGGTCCTGGGTGCTAATGATATTCCTTCAGGCTCTTTTTATCTTTCTGTTCAAAAGCTGGAGCTCCTTACAGTCCTCTCTTTATTAGCAAACTCTTCTGTGCCTCTTTGCTCATAGCATGGAGCCTAATGAAGGGTCTGATTCTTTGGCATTAAAGGGACACTATCAACTTGACAAACCAAACCTGCCTTCTGTGCTTACAAACAGCATTTGAAGACTGAAGGAAATGGAAAGCAAGTGCTCTCTCCTGATACAAGAGACGCTTTAAAGTAGTTTTATAAGCAGCTTATTGCTTTCATCGAGTTAATGAGGCCAAATTTTACTGCAGAGATCTTTAGAAGTATTCTGAACCTAACATTCCCCTTGTTCCGTGTTATTTTGTCCATCAACCTTGAAAGTTACCTTTTAAAGGATTTTCTTCTCAGCAACTGAAAATCATGTAAGATGACTGGAAGTTTACAATGCTAACCTGAGACTTCAGAAACTTGTTTTATGGGTTTAGACAAGTTTCTGTGCTGCATAAGGCAAATCCCTCCCTTTGCCTCCATTCTGTTTATAAAACAATATTTCTTTACACTATTTACTACAGTAATCTTCCCTGTGAGGGTGCTGAGGCGCTGGCACAGGGTGCCCAGAGAAGCTGTGGCTGCCCCATCCCTGGCAGTGTTCAAGGCCAGGTTGAACACAGGGGCTTGGAGCAAGCTGCTCCAGTGGAACGGGTCCCTGCCCGTGGCAGGGGTTGGAGCTGGAGGAGCTTTAAGGTCCCTTCAACCAAACCAGTCTGGGATTCTACGATTTCCTGACCTGATTAGAATATTGAGGATAAATTCACTGAGCTGTTCGCACATGATGGTGTATTTAACCTCCTCAGTGTTGAAACTGCTGTGTGAACCAGCACGTCTGACACAAGAAGCTGGCGGTCAGACACCCCACAGGCCCCGCCTCTGGACCTTGGTAAGACCGAGGACCCGCACCGCCTCCAGCACGCTTTTCCCCCCACACCACCCCGGTGCCAAGCACCACCTCAAACCGCCCGAAGCCCTGCCCCACCAACGCAGCTGTAGGAAGGGCAACGCACGCAGGAGCTTAACGCACCCCAGCGAGCGAACCGGCGCTGCACCCCGCCCGCCTCACGCACCGCCCACCGCCATTGCTCCTCCCGCCTCACGCACACGCACCGCCCTCCCGCCTGGGAGGGGGGGAGCGGAGCGCGGTGCGCATGCGCGCCGAGCCCCGCCCGCCCGGGTTGCGGGCGCCCTCCGGCGGGGAGCGGCGGAGAGCGGCAGGACGCGGCCCAGCTTCCGGTCTCCATTTTACGCAAGCGACAGCGGCCGGGGGTCGTGGTGGTGTCGCTGGTGGAGGGGTCCGGCCCGGCGCGTTCCGGTACCGGGGCTCACCCACTCTCCTTTTCATACCTGTGGGTGTGGGCGGGCCCGGCCGGCCCTCGGGGTTGGGGGTGGCGGCGGCAGGGGGTGAGGGCGCGTTCGTTGTCGCCGCGGTTACCCGGGGGTTGCTGCGGGAGGTGCTAAGCCGCTTCTCTCTCTGCTTGACGGCAGAGCGCGGCCGGTGCCGCCGCCGTGTGAGCGCGAGGACGGGGATGGGCGCCCGCAGCCTCCCCGGGAAGTTCGCCCCCGGCCGCTGAACCCCCGCCCCCCCACTACCCGGGGTGCCCAAAGGTTGAGCGGGTTCGTGTGCCCGATTCTTCCCAGCATGGACCAAAGCGTCGTGGATCGCCCGGTGACCCTCATCATCAAGGCCCCCAACCAGAAATACACCGATCAGACCATCAACTGCTTTCTGGACTGGACTGTGGGCAAGCTAAAGTCTCACCTCTCCAAAGTGTACCCCAGTAAGCCGGTGAGTTGGTGGCCAGCCCTTTTTCTTCGTCGTGTCGGTAAGACTGGCGTTGTGGTAACTTGTGGGCAGTTGGTCAAGACTTTCCTTAGGTACCCTGCAAGATAAACAGTCCTAGTGCCGGAGAGCTGCTTGCGTACGGGTGATGCCTGGCACTCGGCTCTCGGGGAAGCTGGCAGTGCGAAATAGTTGCTCTTTCCTGTGGTTTAAGAAGGTCACAGTGTAGCATCCCCAAAGATGGCATCGCTAAAGACACTTCATCTTTTTTGGGAACTGGAATTGCGGTATCTCAGTTAACTTCGGATTAGTCTCTAAATGGAAAAGTTCTATTTAAAGTGATTACAGTGTAATCAACGCAGCTAAAGTGATCAGGATCTAGTGAATTCACTGAGGTGTGGAGCAGGTAGGTGTTTGTTCATAGTATTTGAAATACGGAGTTGAGCCTCCAGAATTACTTCCCCTTTTTTCCCCCCTTTAAAGAACAGTGGGGTTTTTTGAACACTTTGCTCTCAGATATTCTATGACTGACGGTCGTGATTGTACTTTGAACCTTAATATCAAGACCTGGTGTGGGGTTTTCTTTTGTTATGTTTCCTGAGGAAAATAATGTTTATTTGTCAACTCTTTTAAGTTTCTAAACTTGTCAGTTGACAAGAGGCTGGGAAAAGCCATGCAGGTAATAATCGAAAGATGATACTGTACCTGTTAGTCATACAGAGCAGTATACTTGAAAATTTGTTCCAGAAAACTATATAAAGGGAATGACTGCTTCTACACTGCAGCAACAGCAGCATGTGAGGCCTAGACCTTGCTGTGGAAAGCATCAGTCAAAGGTTGTGTTTATATTGTAAATGATTAGTATGCACCTAATTTAATAGAATAATTATTGGCATTGTTGATTGAAGGTAAAATAGTAGCTTTGTGTCTTGAGGCAGGTTTCTGCCTTTTGGAGAAAGAAGGCAAGCAGTCAACAACTTAGGCTGTGTCTTGGGTACCTTGAGCTCTGTTAAGCAGTATTTGAGAGTTTGTGGATTTAGTTATTGCTGTGAGTAATGCTCTGCTGAGAGAGCCTATCTGCAGTGACAGAAACAAATCCACGACTTCAGCTGATTGCTGCTGCTTCCGTCACTGGAGTCTCCTCCTGTGATGTGTTTAGGCACTAGTTTTCTGACTCACCCGATGATCTTGTTAAATTGGGCTTCTTGTGAAGAATCCTTAATGAACACGAGGTTTTTATGTCGCTGTGTAGGTCTGAACCAGTACTAGAATATTGAATTTCAATTTCCTGGAACATCTTTCTTCTGTTGAAAATTAATTCCTCAACATGCCTCTCATTACATCACTAGTTCAGAATCCCCCAAAATTGTTCTGGGTTAAAGAATGAAGAGTTTCTTCATGAAAATTATCTCAATGGTTCCAGTTTAATCTGGATTTACTGTATTTGCATTTAAACTAGTAAATAAATGTAGTATTTTTATTTTATAGAACCTTTGAATTAAAGTAAGAACATGGGGAGGAGAAATGAAACATCCTATTAAACACCTATGTATAGAAAAATCAGAAGGTGGATTTGATGTTGCCTGCTACTGCTTTTTCCAGATTTGTTTAAATCTTTGTGCTCTTAGGAGCAGCTCTGCCCCACCCCCCCTTTATTTTTCTTTAAACTGGATCAATGCCAAAAGCTTGTCCATCAAATTTCTACATTCCTTGATTATGATAGGTCCTGAAAACAACTTCTGTTACAGTGCTATTTTAAGAGTGCATCAGAACACTGATGTTCTCTCAGGTATTGGAGTGTTCTGGGTGTGAAATAGAAATCAGTTGCTATCCCTGCTATATACATAGTCTTTCAAGTTTTTACATGTGACTTTTACCTTATTCTACAAGCATCTGTAAAACAGTCAGTAGACTGATGGTAACTTTAAACGTTGTCATTAAATTTACAATTTATTAAGAATGTATTTTCAGAAAACGTGATGGTTAAAACGTGCAAACAAGAAGTTAGGGCCTGAGGCAGTGGTGTTTGTTGTTTTTCCAGGTTAATTTGTGTAAATCATGTGGCTAAACATATGCAGATTTCACAGGCAGATTTAACTTGATTTAGGTGTTACTAAAGTTACTAAGTTGGTATACTTACTTTGGCAAGTCATTGAAGGAGATAAGTGGGGTTTAAAATAAAATCAAATTAGTTTGTGGGTCTATACTAAGATCCACGTTCCTCAATATCTTTTTTTCCCTGATTGGACCAATTTTTCATAGCTGAAGTACTGCAGTTACAGTGTCCCTAAATGAAATGTTTATTTAAGAAAAATTGGGAAATCAACCTCTGTGTGTCACTCTGGCAGCTCTTGCAGTAAGTGCATTAACCACTCCATTGATTACACCCAGACACATGAACTTTAAATTCTCATTTCCTCTAGTACCTGTCATCTAGCATATGCTTTGCTCACATTTCTAACCAGATGTGGTGGTTTGGATTCTTATTTCCTATGGGAGAGAGGCTGAGTGACCAAAATAACTAATATCTTGTAGCTGAAACAGGATAGCTCAGAGATTATCTGTGTTTCTAAAGGGAGTTGCTGCATTAGCTCACGTTTGATGGTTTTGGTAATATGCTGTGTGTAGCTAATTTGGACTCAGTAAGCATTGCAGCAGGAGTCTTGCTTGAAAAATGGAAGAAAAAACCCAAACCACTAGCTGTTGAATTCTTGGTTTTAAACTCATACCTTTTGAATTATGGTCTGGAAACTGTCTTCCATCTCACGGTAAACTTTAGGTTCTAGATGCATTTTATCTGATGCTTCCTGCTTGCTTGTGAAAATCGGGGCACTCTAATTCTTTATATATGTTCTAAAGTGTTTTTCCATCACAGTTAAGTGTTTGGGCTAACAGTGAGCATGCTGTTCCTTAAAGCAGGAAGTTTGATAGTGAACCTCCTCTGGCAGAGGATCACTTGAATGCCTTTTCTATTTTCTTTGGCATAAATGTATACTGTGTGTTTTCACATTTGTCACTTCTTCTTTCATCTGCATTTAAATCCCTGCCCCTCATCTCAGAATTCCAAGATGGCTTTCACCCTGAGAATTGAAAGTGATTGTAGTAGTGCCCCATTAGGTATTTAAATTATGTAGGGAGGAGTATGTGGTTTAAGGCCTCATGGTCCCCATTAATGTCCCTAGCTTAATATGATTAACAGTACTCAACATAGGTTTAACCTTTTCTTTTGTGGTTTTGTAGGGAGGTGAAAGGCACTACCGAAGCCTATGTAATAGCTTTGAGGGGTTGTTTTACTCCAGCAGTTTCTTTTCTGTGAAGTATTTGTATGAAAAATATGAATTGTACTACTCATTTGAGGAGTAGTAAATGAGATGGAGTTGAGGAGAGGTACATACGTGAGGTACTGAAGAGAAAAATCTGAATTTGACCATCTAGAAAACTATATTATGAGTGCTCCATCGCCATGTTGGATGATGATACAAAGGTTTGGAGTTTGGGGGTGGTTTTTTGTTGTTGTGTTTTGCTGTTTTAACTGCTTCTCCATTCTAATTAATCTCCAGATAATCTATCTCAGGACCCAGAGACAAGGTTTCTGACACTTTTCTTCTGGTTCCACTGCTGATTCTAAAGCAACAAGTTTCTTACTTATAAGAAATCAAAGTTTCCAGTAATGTTGATTCATGCTGCAAATTCTTATTTTTTCTAAGAAGGCCTTTCCCAAACATAAAATGCAAGTAAGCTTGTATTTTGCTAGCAGCCTGTTC